GTCGAGTCGTTTACGACTCATAGCGACCCTATGTACAACAGCCCGAAACCCTGCTCTATCCTGTGCCAACCGCATTGCCTCTGACACACCCACCCCGATTACCCCAGTCACTGAATCAATCCACCTCATAGAGGGTCTTCCCCTCCTGCGCTGTCCCTCTACCCTCCCAAGCATGATGTCCCTCTCCAAGGACCTGTCTCTCCTTACAACATGTCCAAAGTATGTCAGACGGAGCCTTAGAATCCTTGCCTCCAGGAGTAGACTGGTTTGACCCTCTCTAGGCTGGATCTGTTTGTTTTCTTGGCAGATCAGGGTAGGGACAGAAAATCCCTCTTTATGTGTCCCTACTTTTCTTTGATTCCCACATCCCAGCCATGCCAGCTCTACACTGCTGACTTTTGTCCAGAACGGGGAAATAAATGAAGGCTCAGCATTGCAGAGAGGAGGATCGAAACAAGGCCCCAGGGGCAGGCTGCTTGGCAAGGAAAGCAGACAAATTAGCCGGCCAGGCTGCTCCTGCCTCTGGCCTCTGGAAGCTGCTGCCTCCCCTTGCTTCATTTGCCTCGTGCACTGTGTAGTTGTTAACCCTTTTAGCTGCATCACCATTTCCTGTTGTTGTTGTGTTGTACCATCGAGTTACTTGCAACTCTTAGCGACCCTGGGTACAACAGCTCTGAACCTTGCTCTATGTTGAGCTAATTTCACTGTTTCAGACACCAATTCCTATGACCCCAGTCACTGAGTCAGTCCTTTTCATCCAGGGTCTTCCTCTCTTGTGTCCTTCCTTCATCCTTCCAAGCATGATGTCCCTCTCCAAGGACCGGTCCCCCTGACAACATACCCATGTATTGTTGTGAGGTGCCATCAACGACTCATAGTGACCCTGTGAACAACAGATGCAAACCTTACTCTAGCCTGCACTATCCCCGCCATCTCTGATATACTCGGGTCCATTGTTAGAGTCACTGTGTCAAGCCATCTGGTGAGGGCCCTTCTCTCTTTCTCTAACTCTCCACCTTTCCCAACATGGTGTCATTTTCCAAGGACTGCTCCTGAAAACATGCTCAAAGTCTATGAGGTGAAGGGTCACCATCCTTGCCTCTAAGGAGCACACCGGTTGCACTCCCTCCAAGACATATTTGTTTTGGCAGTCCACGGCATATTCAGCGTTCTTCCCCAACATCATAACCCAAAGGCATCAATTCTCCTGTCATCCCTATTAATTATCCAACTTTTAGATGCATATGAAGCAACTGAAAACATCATAGCTGGGATCCTTTCCTGAAAAGTTCCTAATTATCCACAGGGGCATTGAGATTCAGAGAGGTTGGAGGGTGTCCATAGAGCCACTCAGAAGTCGAGAGGAGAACTCATCTTCCACAGGCTGGCTCTTTGCGATTTTCTCTGCAGCATGTGCAAGTGTGGTCTTACGTCTCAGTTCATTATCTCTGAGCTACACAGCAATCAAGACCTGGAGATGATCATTTACAGAGTGGAGTTGAATGGAACTCAACCAAGAGTTTCTCTGGGACCCAAAACATAGTAAAGGTTAAAGGTAACCATAACTGAGGAAGGGGAAGCAGGGGAGAGAGATGCAAGGAAGAGAAGTGAGAAAGGGAGTTAACATCAATAAAATCTCTCCTAGGTGCCAAACACACAGTAGGCACTGTCCTCCAGACCCTCAAGGTGGGAAGTCTCCTTATTTCAATTCATGGACATTTTCACAAAGCCGAGAACTGAGCAGAGGTCTTTCTGCTTCCGAAGGGCAGACGTGGAAAGAAGCTAGGAAGAATTGCTGAATGTTAATTGCATGCTAATTCTATGAAAACAGACTACACTGAGAGGAGAGCCCTTAGGACATACTTTCAGGAGGACCAGTCCTTGGAGAGAGTCATCATGCTAGGAAAGGTTGGGGGGTCAGCAAAGGACGAAAAGACCTTCCATGAGAAAATCCTTGATGACAGAGACTATCACAATGGACTTGAGCGTGACGATCATGAGAACGTCGCAGGATTACAAGGCTCATGGGGTCACTATAAGTGAAAAGGGTTTCTAGAACAGCAAAGCTGAGCAAAAGTGCCCTGATGGCTGGTTCTGATACTTGCTGTGAGATGGTAAGAGGATACATTATCTTTAAGAGCATTGGGGTTTTTTCTCTGTGAAATGGAGATAATTTCTTGAAATTGTTCTGAAGATTAAATGAAGCCAGTTTATGAAAGAATATTGGAAGCTATGTAAAAATACCTGACTATAGTCGTAATAGTCATAATTGTTTTTTCTCCACAATTGGATCTTGGATTAATGTCCTTTAGCCTTCATTAAAGCTCAACATCAAGAAAAAAAAGATTCTCATCGCTGGGTCAATTGGTAGCATCATGATGGATGGTGAAGAGAGAGATCGAGAATGTTAAAAGCTTTAGTTTGCTTGACTTCACAAATCAACACTCTTGGTACCAGCAGCCAGGAAATCAAGAGATGAATAGCATTGGGAAAGTCAGTTGTCAGGGACCTCTCCAGAGTACTGAAGGGCAATGATGTCAGTCTGGAGACTAACGTGTATCTGATCCAGGCCATAATCTTCACAATTGCTTGCTATGCACTGAAAAGCTGGACAATGAGTAAGGATGATAGAAGGAGAATTGATTTCTTTGAGCTGTGGTGCTGGAGAAGAGTTTTGAATATACCATGGACTGCCAGGAGAACAAACAGGATCATCCTACAGAGGGTGAAGCCGGCCTGCTCCTTGGAGGCAAAGATTCTGAGGCTTCGTTTGACATACTTTGGGCGTGTT